TTTTTAAGGATACCTCCTTTCTAAGGGACAACGGAAAAAACACAGTCCTTGGGTCCCCGGCCTATTGAAGGGCCCAGCGGAGTGTTTTTTTTATGCAGTAGGGACGGGTGGCGAGATAACACCCGGTTTAAAGGGCTTTCTAAAAATTCGCTGACTTATTTTTGCGAAAGGTTTTACTAAGTGTTAGGCTCGCAATAACCCTTTGCGCGCTTAGTTTCTTTCTCTCCCTTTCACTCCATGTACTTAAATTAATCGAAAACCAAGGCTCAAAAAATCGAAAAAAATAAACCATAAAATTTCCCCTGGATAAGTACGTTTGTACGTGGAAACGAATGCAGACAAATATGCAACTTAATACACAGGGGGGGAGGGCCCACACAATTCCCTTGAGTGTCTCAACGAGTCCTTTGTGTTGAGAGAGGGAGAAAAAGGAAGGTATGGTTTTAGAAGATTTTGACCCGAGAATTGTCTCGGACTATGTCTGTATGTCTTAAAACTTTTATCAGACTGCAGTCTTCGCTCCTCGAGGCCGGATATACGCGGGGTTGATCTTAAAAAGTCCTTTCGGCCGTCCACTTCAGCGGCCATTCTTTATACGTCCTTCGTCAAAACAACATTACATAAGTCTACGTCTGTGGATAGACATTCTGGTTTTCGGATTAACGACTTTCCTTCAATCGGCGCCGTAAGCGTACTCATACAAAATTAGCCGACAAACCTCAATAATGAACGAGAAATGCCGTGCGCCGACTCCGAACGTAAGGTATGTTTCGCACCCCTCCGACGGTTCTTAGATCAACCAACCGAACATATACGACCTTTTTTTGTTACCAGTTATGATTATATTGCCATCGGTGTGCGAACCGATTTTATTTGTCAAATTGTTTAAGTCCCCGCCCTTAAAAAAAAAAAAATACTTTAAAACCGCGGAAAGACGGGTCCTTTTTCTAACGGCACGCCTGTGGTCATTAGTCTTAGTCCTTATGGAAATTGCAAGGTAATCTCCTTGTAAACCTAAAACAATGTCGTTCTTTTCTCGGTTTCTGTCCCGAATTACCAGATGTGGAGTCGGAAACCGTATATAAACTATCGGCGCGTTGTCCTTACTAAACAGTCCCTGGAAGTAAGTAACCTATGACTTACTGTTATGTGTGATGGGTAACGAGTCCAGATTGGATTCAACTGGCCCGACGTAATGCCTGACGCAAAGGTAACAACTTAACCTTGATGCATAATTGGTAAAATTTTGTCCGGTTATTAGTTCTAGGTTTGCCGGTCTTTTCAGATAGGGTCATTTTTGGGTTACGATGCTGGTTTTAGTTTTCGAGTTGAAATTTACAGTTAGAATGAGTCAAACACCAAATGTCTGTACTAACTTTATGCAAAGGTGTTAGGGCCTACATTTTTATGGCATTGTCGATACATATTTTATACGAGCGAAGATATGTTTTAGTTGTATGTGTAAATTGTGTTCGTGTGCTTTCTTTTTTTTGTGTTGTTAGTTAGATTGTTTATTGTCAGTGATTTTCATAATTAGGCTTACAACTTTCTCGGGTCTGGAGGATTATTCAGTACTGTTTAATTTGTAAGACACTGTTGCACGGACGAGAGGGGTTCCTGTAGCAGTGTGTTGTCGTCCGTGTACTGCCATCTTTCTCAATGATTTCGGGTGTAACCGAATCGGTCGTTTGTTCGTTGTAAAGTCTCTAATGTTTTTAACCGGTGCGCTGAACTCTGAGTCGACGGGACGCCTGCAACCCTGAGTGACAACGAGAAACGATCGGGAGACGCCAGGCAGTCAGTCCTCTGAGGTGCACACACCCCGAACAAAACTGACGACGTCATCAGGTGGATTTCTTGTGTGATCGGGCTTTTCGGCCGCGAGTGATGTCTCCCCCTCTTTATCTGACCCTCCGTTTTTAGTCCTGCTGTTAGGCGTACCCATTCCAAAAATAAAAACCGACAAATAAAAAATCCAAGTTTTAGTTTCCAGTATTGGGACCGCACTCCCCAAATTTTACTCCATGAGCGAATTAGAAAACTAATACATATAACTAGTATTTTAGTCTGGAGTTGCAGGATCGTCTCGCCTTGTAAACATAACGAATTGCGGTTCTTTTCTCGGTTTCTGTCGAATTAAATGGAATTCCTTCGTAAGTAATTTTGTTATGTTTTTTTTGTGTTTGTTTTGTGTAGGACGATTGCTCGGACATGTTTATTAAGTGAATAAGTTTCAGTTGAAATTTTATACACAACATGTACGGTCTTTCCTAGACTTTATGAGCAAAGGGTGCTCGAGGGCTCCGAAAAAAAAAAAAAAAAATTTTTTTTGTGTGTAATTTTACGTTCTTGTGAGCGCGTTATTAATGTTTTTTTGTGTTTTATTTGTCAAATAAAAGTTCATTCTGTCTCTATATATATTCTTTTCCGTAACTACGATGTACTCACGTTTTACTCTCACGTTGTTTACAGGTATCGTCGCGATTTTTCCACTTACACCATAGTAGTATAATAATAATGAATAATTTACTAAACGAAATTGATTTTGTGTGTTTATCTTTCCATTGACTGATATCTCGGTAGGTATGTAAGTTGGACAAACGTTGAGTTGTGTAATACGATAGTGAACTGAGCAATGCAGGTGATTGAAGACTAAGAATAAAGCATAACATAAATCGAACGTGGACCGAAAAAGTCACAATAACACAACGTGACAAGCGCCTCCTTTCGGACACTGGATCTAAAACAAGGAGCTGTCATTGATGTGACGATCGACACTCTGCTCCTACCTATTATTTTTCGGAACTTAGAACTTCTCGATGTTACGACGCAAGAATGCAACAATATCGGGTCATCGTCCGGATTTCATTCGGGTCACGACCTTACAACCTTTACTGGCTTCACACAGTGATAATGTTATGCTGCCCTATAAAGTAACTTAGTTAACGTCCGAGTAAAATTTACAGGTTCAAGTTCGGGAGACAACTGTTGGTTCTTTGACTATTTCCGAAAAGTCCGTCCCTACACCGACAATAAACGCCTCATCTGCCCATACTTACGGATCGACGTACCCCACACCTTTCCCCTGTGTCCGACTCGAGTCCCACACCTACGACGAAGAAGAATGAATTGACCTTTCTAAACGCTCTTTTGCCCGTTATGTTTCGTTTGTGGTGTCGAAGCAGACCGTCTACCCATTTGTGCAGTTTGACAGTTGTAGGCATTTTTTCTTTAATACCCTGCTTCCTTGTGATAACAAATACAATAACAGAACAGAACAAAGACAAAGCCACTTCCCCTTCGTAGAACTGCATAAAATCCTTTTCGCGGAGACGTTTAGGGTACATAACAATAATAAATAGATAATATAATGATGAGATGGACTTTGTCGTTTTTTTGCTAATACGGAGAAATGGGGTGAATGTTACCTGTAAGATTCTACAACTCGGTCCCAAAGGTTATAAAGTAGTTTAGCTACCTCTAACGGACACCGAAACCGTAGTTCTACAAGTATTAATTATAAATGTGAACTCGTGGTTTTAGTATTAAGTTCATTGGAGAAAACTTGGAAAACTGGGACAAAAAATTTTGAAAAAAATTTTGATTCCCTTAGCTTTACCGTCATAGTTTTCAAGTTGAAATAACAGTTAAGAAAGGCAAACATACATGTTCTCGTCTCTCTAGCTTTATGACAAGGGGTGTTAGGTCTGCTTATGTCTTATCGTTATACATATTGTTATACATATTTGTATATATATGTTTTTGGTTGTCTGTGTAATATCGTATACGTGTGTAATTTCCCGTTGTCATACAAAAGTTATTTTGTGTAGAAATTTGATTTCGAGGTCCAGTACGAAAAGGCCAATAATGGGCACGGGGAACCACAATACATCGAAAAAGACGTACATTTGCAGACGTCTCAGTGTTTGGGAAGTTTCATGTGGGACATCGCTCATTTTGATCTTCCTGGACAGACACGACGGGGTCTTGCGGGAGCAACCTCTAAATAGAAAAAGGTAACAAAAGAAGGACCCATATCACGTGCATTTCGCCGAGGACGCCTGAAGGGAGTGTGCGCTGTAGTGTGTGTCTGTCTGTTGTGTGTGTGTGTGGTTGTGTGTGTGTGTGTGGTGTGTGTGTGTGTGTGTGTGTGTGTGTGTGTGTGTGTGTGTGTGTGCTGGGGTGGTGTGTGTGTGGTGTGGTTGTGTGTGTGGGGTGTTTGTTGGGTGTGGTGTGTGTGTTGTGTGTGTGTGTGTAGAAAAGAGTCGACCGTTCAAAGGCGCCTAAAGATTCGAACTTGAGTCGACTCTGCCGCCCTGCGCCGCTCCCGAGCCGGACCCGAGTCCCGACTCGTGTTTGTCGTCTGAGTGTCGGTCCGACGTCCAAAAACGCGAGCCGACCTAAGCCCGACCCAAAAGCGACCCACAGGGGCGTGTTTATATTTAATAAGATCATCTCGAGTTGTCACCTTAATACAGTCATCTTTACCGTACAGTTACCTGGAAATTCAGATGAAGGACCCTCTTTCAACGGACCTAGAAATCTTAAAACCCCTGTTTC